CAGCTTCTGTAGCATAGTGCCCAGACTATCCATAGAAAAAGTTTACGCCCTTGCGGAGCAGTGAGCTCGAAAAAATCTAGATGCGACTCCCGAAAATTTAGATGCGATCCTAAAAAGTAAAAACTGGGATTTTTGAGCTAAAAATTTTGTAACTTACTAGAGAAGCTATAAGACAGCCTGCAATTTTTATCAGGGAAAGTAGGAGGATGGCCTCGTATTACAGCAAAATTGCAGCCAACAAGCTTCAATCGCTCCGGAAAAATTTAGATGCGACCCAGATACGACCCCCCTTTTGTCATTTTTTGCCACCATACATAAAATCATAAGAAAATCCGAAGGCTATAAAGCAGGACCAAATTTTGCACAGATGTAATAGAGCACCTCTAAAGTACACATAAATTGTAGAGACCGTTTGAAAAGTATTACAAAAAGAATCACAAATTATTGATGATTAGCGTTGATAGAGATATGCGCCTTTTGTCGAGTGTGCGAGTCTTGTGTGAGCCTTCAAAAGCAGAATGTCTACACCAATCGGTACATCTAACATCTTTATCACACATACATGCCTTTAGTAGCATTTGAGCTTCTAAAGGGTTCATTTTTTGAATTTTAGTCATGCCACCCTGGTTCGATCCCCGTCTGCGACAATATTTTGCGGAAGGAATAGTGATCCCCTTCAAAAAAGAGAACTCCAAAACAAGAAGTCCTAATCTTTCAAAAGTGCAGCAAATGAAGTGGTTTTTGAAATTATTGTTCACTCGTTTTCAATTGATACATTGGTACACGGCATTCCATGAATTTATTGTTAAGAACACGTAGTATTTATTTGCCATTCGATTTCCTTCCATGCTTACTGTATTTTATCCAAACTTCCTTCTTTTGCGACCCCCCCCCCCCACCATAGGTACCCCGCTGACGACCCTCCGTTGCGACAGTCGCATCACACGCTTGACCCTGCTTCTATATTATGTGCATCGAAGTGTCGTAGAATATTGACAGCATTTCTAACTATAGCAAAAACTGTTAATACTAAAAAATCTGGTTTTTTCGCTTTGCAAAAGTACTAGTTTGGTAATTTCCAATCTTACAAAAACATATGGAGCCATTTCCAGCTAGATAAAGTATATTTTGTGGAGGATGACCGCAGCATCATGTGGCATAAAATTGAAATCAGAACCACGAGTACCTTTGTAATTGCAATATTGCAAAGTTAGGCTCCCAGACTTTTGACGCACCCTGTACATTTCGAAAGTAAAGGGACCCGTTCTTAAAACTTAAACTTGAACTGACGGTTGAAGGCGCAGCGTTCTGACGCACACGGTGTGTCCTAGCACAGTCACAATTTGCGCTGAGTGTCCAGTGGGCTGCAGACGCCTATAGGTAATTTCTACTTCGAATTGATGGCGCAGGCACGGACATCAGCGCGATGGTCACCCGTGAGACGCACAAGGTGCAAGCCTCAGAAATAATTGCAGCTCGCGCTGCATGCACTCGTTTAAAACTCTCGCGCCGCTTTCGTGTGGCAATAAAGTTTGGGCATAGACCCACACTAGATAGGCAAGATAGGCAGACGAAGAAGAAGCTTTGTACATAAAAGAACTGATTGATGTGACAATTCCAAAAAGAACCGAGTAATGCAAATTAGAACCTAGGGTCTGTCTCACTCCAGATCAGAACAAAATAAGCGTTGCGTCTTCGCTATGATTTGCATTACGTCTACGGCTTACTATGAGAAAATGCGAAAACCTCCCGTTTTCGGCCCATACTCTTCAAGCTTTAGGTAACGCTTTGCGCTCATGTGGCAAACATCTACTCAGACAATCGCTGGGGGCAGGCGGGCACCGGAAAAATAGATTGCTGATTTCTCGCACCCCGCTCGCGGATTTTTTGCAAAGCAATCAGGAGTTTTCGGAAGACCGCTTGCTGAGTCAGCGGATTTTTGAGAGACCGCCTGTTGAATTTTTTTTCGCTCTTATCTTTTGCAGATATATTGCTGAATCTCTGAGGAATCGAGAACTCAGCAAGCGGTCTTCCGAAAAATTGATTGCTTTCCAAAAAATCCGCGAGCGGGGTGCGAGAGATCAGCAATCTATTTTTCCGGTGCCCGCCTGCCCCCGGCGATTGTCTGAGTAGCTGCGAAAGCTCAATCAAGTCAACGTTTTTGCCCTATTACGCGTACATAGTCAATGTTTGCAGTATGGTCCGTACATTAATCACTACTATACTGCTGGAACAATCTTCAATTTCCCTTTAAAAACAAGCGACAGTATCCATCAATAACATTCTGCATGACTGTTTTGACGAATTATCTTGACGATTTATCTCCATGATTCATTCAGTATTGGAATTCGCAGAAACGGCAAAACTATTGAAGCCGCATGGATTTTACAGCGATCAGATTTGATCTCGGCTAGTTTTTCCGCAGCTCACTATTCCACAGCTTTTGCAAATTCATCAATGAAGGCACGCCGACCGACAAAGGGTGGTTTCGCTCATAAAGGATGTGCAAGAAATATGTTGCTTTCGATTTCACATGTCATGCTAAATGTCCGTTTGTGTGTCCTGTATGTTTAAAAGTATATTTCAGAAAAGAATTCTTCTATGTCTGAGCTGATCGCCACTTACTCTGCATAACATTTCGCGGGGTGGGGGAGTGTCATAGGCTATTCTTATTAACCGTAATATTAGATTTTCAGCAAACTTCAGGCTATGAGACTCGATTAAGACTCAATCATTTTTGTCAAACACTCAATCTTTGCTAACTTCTAATTGTTGATGGGAATTTTTACGCAGAGGTCAGAACAAAATCGCAATTGAAATGTTCCTCTTCAGGATTATGGATCACCCTTATCGCTTTCATAGAATTCTTTCGATTTTTTTAAAAGAAGGTTGAGTTGAGGCGCTGCGCATTGATATGGCTAAGTGAGCACGATGAGGAAGACAAGGAGAGGATGTAGCAAGGTGGAGGACAGAGGGACACTGTTACGTTGTGTGGAAGGAAAAAAACTTTTTCCATAATTCTGTAAGTGCTTTCATGATATGCGATGTATAGAGAGTACGCTAGCTATTCCGTTGCGCATCTCTCCTAACATCAGGTTGGTCAGTGTGACGATTATAAAATTTTACAGTAGTTTTTGTTTCAGGTTAAAAGTTGGCACACATTTGGGCAGAGGTGCTTATTCATAGCAGTTCATGCTTAATTTTTGTAAAGAAATTCGATCTGTACAAATTATGCTCAATATAAGAAGGAGAATGCGAAACTTATATTTATGACTGTTTTGGTTTTTGTTGTAACATTTTCAGCCTTGTGAGCTCGAAATGACCACTCGAGTGATCTTTTTATTGCACTTTTCTCTGCAATTTATAAAAAAAAGGGAATCAATTTTAGTGACTAGATAATCTCTTCATTCCAATTATGACAAGCAAGTCTATTGAAATGAAAGAAAGGTACGATTTAAAAAATGATGCGGACGAAGCACTTTATATCAAGTTTACTGTCGGACGAAGCAACCTCAGGAACGGGCGCGAACCCGCCGCGCGGATACCTGCGTCGTTGTCAACAATGCGCCTTATGCGTCCTAGGCGCTATAACCACGCATTTCAGGGTCCTGCGCGTTTGTTCGACAGAAGATTTCAAGCTGGATTATTGGATCACGCAGCAATACGGTCAATGGTTTTCTTTTTTGAAACACCAATCGTGAGCTTGTATGCTATGGTCGCGGTTGATTATACAGGGTGAGGCAAAAGTTTGGGAGAACTTTGCAACGTTGTCAATCACGAAACCTTGATGTTTTGGATTCCAAATCTCTGCCAAATTCTGAAATCATCCTCTACAAATCACACTTTGCCTGGCTAAAAATGCTTGTCATATGTTTTTGTAAGGATTGGATTTAACGAACAGTGCTCCTGCAGAGCAGGAAAATCAAAATTTTTAGTATAACTTAATTCGTTGCAAAAGATACTATGAATATTATACAACATCTTAGTGCTTACAATGTAGAGGAGGCATTGCCCTGTCACATCGCAGTACTGCGTTTGCAAGAAATTATTCATTGAAAAAACGCAATATAAGCAATTGCGAGATACTATCTGCGTGCCAATGGCCATTTGTCTTCAAAATAAGTTCGAAAGCTATGAGAGGGCAGCAGGTAGCAAGATTTATTTATATCTTTCCACGAGTCTTCTATAAAAGCATCTACTTGGTTTCCATCGATGGAGCAATTTTAAAACTTTTTAGATTATAATTTTTCGTCCCTTTCGCGTCATCGCATCCAAATTTCCAGTATATGAGCACTTTCGAAAAATTTTTCTTCATAAACATTATAACCAAAAGCTTGCTCTATCATACTGCGCAATTGCATAGTGAAGGAAGTCATCATAAAGGCGTGGGACGAATCTCATTACGACTGCCTGCATGCCGCAACAGGCGGACTCGCCAAGATTTTGAAAGACTGCTTTAGGGCAGAAGAGGCAATAGAATTTGAAAGCTGCGCTGTATTTGTGAAGGTTCAACTCATGTGCTCACCAAACATCTGTTTCTAGGAACCTTCCTTTTGATTTATCCGAAAAAATGCTGGGCTCACAGACTTTTGCCTCACCCTGTAGTTCACTATAGCTGGAAAGACGATATGCTGATACAGCGTTGGCGTAAAAAACGCTCTGATAATTACTGGTTTGCTGTATAATCTCCATTGATTAATATATTGCTAAAGCAATGCGCCATGCCTGCATTGTCAAATTCGAGCAGACGTGCGTTGCAAAAGAGAAATGAACGCAACCTTAGTATTATCCAGCCCAAAATAAGTAAAGTACCTTCTAAAAGCCCCAAAACGTTCTTCTCGTTTACATTCTTAATCGTATCAAATGAGGGATGAATGACCACACACCGTAGTATTATCCGGCTTATAATATAGGAATTTCTTTCTAAGATGCCCAAAATTTTGTTCAGGACTACATGTTTTTTTATGCACATCATATGAGGGATGTCGTCCGACTGTAGTGCGATAACTTCCTTCTGGCATCTTAAATGATTGATGTACGCATCGTAAGAGGAATCTGGAGAATAATAAGCGCTTACATTTTTTGCGCGAAACTTCTTATATACATCCTCATTGTAGAAATCATGTATGGAGGAGACGTATCCGTTGGGAAGCATCTAAAATTCAACTAACATTCACATGTGAATGAAGAAAAATTGAAAAATTGAGCAAAACTTTGACCTTAGCTGCGACTTTTTCGAGCTCTTGTGCTAAGTACGGTATGCTTCAACAAAAAAAGAATCAGCATTAGCTTTGACTTTCCGCATCGCTGCGCTTTAGCCATTCACAGATAATGCTCCTGTGGCTACTAGTTGCTAAACCTGGGAGTCCTGCTTTCGAAAGCTATACAGTATGCTCGCCCAGACAAAACTATTCACACTGTTCTTTCTGCAGGGTTGCGCAATGAGATGCTCAAAGGCGATGTCAGGGCCTCACTTTTAGCTCTTCGCTCAATTGCGCTTATTCACTACTAGCTGGCATACCCGGCTCCGCCGTATGTTCCGAATAGAAAATTCCATTTCTCAACCGATCCGAACCAAACTTGGCACACATACACTTCGGGCCCCGGCGGGTGTCACAGTCCACTTTTCGTTATCGATTGATGCCGATTTTATCGATTTTTTGCAAAATTTGAGCTAGGGGGCTGGGATTTGGCACAGGGGGGTAATCGAGCATGCTGATTACGAATACAATATTAGTTTTCGAAACCGTGCATTACTTTTATCGATTTTATCGATTTTTTTGCAAAGTTTGAGCTAGGGGGCTGGGATTTGGCAGGGGGTGTAATCGAGCATGCTGATCACCCCCACGGGGGTGACCAGCATGCTCGATTACACCCCTCTGCCAAATTCCAGCCCCCTAGCTCAAATTTTGCAAAAAATCGATAAAATCGACATCGATCGATGCGAAAAGTAGCCTATGACACCCGCCGGGGCCCGAAGTGTATGTGTGCCAAGTTTGGTCCGGATCGGTTCAGAAATGGAACTTTCTATTCGGAACATACGTACAGACAGACAGACAGACAGACAGACAGACAGACATACAGACAGACAGACAAACAGACATTCAGCTTTATACAGGGTGTCCCAAAAAAATGTATCGAACGTTTGATCGTTACTATCTCTCTTCCCAAGAAGTCTTTTGCCTTGCTTCAGGTACCGTTTTATAGAGCTGGCTCCAACTTAAATTTTCTTTATAAAACGAATCACCCATCTCTCTTCATTACTGTAGGATTGCGGTAGAAACTTGAAACATATGGCGTTAATGTGGAAAAAGCTGCCATTTCAAAATTTTTCAGAAGATTGTGAAAACTTGTGTATTGGGATTTTTATGGCCGCTGAGTTCAGTACTCAACTATTCTCATGATTGCGAAGCTTTCTAAACGGTGTAACCGCACTTTTTAGGAACATTGAAAAAATGGCCGCTACCTCTTACGTGGCATAACTCTTCAATAAAACATCATAATAAGTTGGGAACTTTACAGTTATAATCAGCAACTCTAATTAGCCTAGTGTAAAAGCTTTCAGGCTGTTTTGTTTTCTTTCTGAGGCAAAATATGGCCTTTCATTGCTTAAAACCCTCTTTGAAGTTTCTACCGTAATCCTACAGTAATGAAGAGAAATGAGTGATTCGTTCTATAATGCAAATCTAAGTTGAAGCCAGCTCTACAGATTGGTACCTGAAGCAAGAGAAAAGACTCTTTGGGAAGAGAGATATTAACGATCAAACGTTCGATACATTTTTTTGGGACACCCTGTATATAAGATGCTGAAGTAGGAAATTTGTTGGAAAAAGGGCAAGAATGAGCATCTAACACAACAGTGCTAAGCATGTTGCTGATGAGAACAAATGAGTTTTTGAAAATTCGAATTTTTCGGTAAACCTCAAATTTCGACCTGTGGATCATCGAAAATTTCATGACTTCAAAACATCATTTGTTCTTATCAGTAACATGCTTAGCACTGTCGGGTTAGATAATTTGCACAACTTTGAAGGTTTTTCGTTGACTTCGGAGAAAGAAAAATGACTTTAAAGAAAAGCGCCGGGGATCATCAGGGATTATACAAAAGCTGGAAAATGCGGGTTCGTACAGCTTCTCGCTGCTCTTCAATATGTTCATAGTGAAGGGTAGTAGGAATACTTACGGATAGATACACAACGTGAAATTCAGGTTCTGGAGTTTCGAAATATACAGCTTTCTTTTAAGCTGCGATCCCCTCCCCGCGGGGATGTTAGTGCATGCGGCCCTAAGTCTAGGACCCAAAGCCCTTGTTGATCTCTATGACATCCACCATGATTGCCGGCAATGGTTGCCGAGGTATAGTCGTCCTCACCCCACTAGTCAGTCGGTGGATGAATTCGAATTCGAACTGGAGCAGGCAGGTCGCGGTAGGGCACGGCACCTTAGCTCTTCGTTCAAATTCACGCATTCACATCGCGTATTTCTTCGCCATTGCTTAGCAGTTTTTGTATTGTTACAACGTTTTTGACCTAAGTTTTTGTAATTGCTGAGCGTTGTCTCCTGCCCCGCTGTGCCGTGGCAGGCCTGCTCCAATTCAAATTTGAATTCGTCCACCGACCGACACAATATTACTTCTTCAGCCATCGTCCGGCTGTCTTACAGTAACGCGACCTTGGCGTAAAATATGTTTACTGCACAAGTCACGCATTCGACGCCTATTCCCTCCAAGGACAACGTCACTCCGCTTTGTAAAAACTCGGATGTTGCAAGTTGAGACGTAAATAAGTGTTACGCGATTTTCTAGTGAGAAACTAGTCTCGTATGAGCACTTGACTTCTTGGGCCTATCATATTCGGTCGTCAGGCTCGATGGAGGAATCGTGTCATATGGTGAGAAGGAAACACTGGTGATCGTGGCCATAATGAGAGAATGTCAGTTGATGCGTCTTTGAAATCTGATTCAAAATCCGTCTCCCTTATCTGCGAAACTCATTTTCAAATGAGTTACGAGACCTTTTTCAAGAGTAAGCACGCTGATGAGGGTCGGCGTAATCAATAGTGTAAGGTTTTCTTAAGGTTTCCTTTTTGAATCACATCGAAATTTTTTTCTTCGAATCAAATTCATTCTGAATCACGTCTAGCAGATATTTATATAGATTTGGTCAGCGTTTAGAGATGCGTGCTATGAGCATCTTATCTATGGTCACGGTGACCAAGTACTCTTTTTAGTGAGAGGGCAATGTCAGGCATGACTAACCTTAACAGTTGCAAGAAATCAGGCACCACTTATATGACATTATACATTATGATAATATACTGGTGTGACATTCACAGTAGCCATAGCCAAAGATTACTGCGTTTTTGCTTTTTTGCACAAAAGACTTTCAAAATGTTTCTTGTAAGGTATCGTCAATGTTGCCTATTTAGGAACATTGGATACTAGTTTGAGGAGTTCGGCTTTCTCCAAAAGATGAACCCTTCGATTTGTTTGAGTTTTTATTTGGAGGTTTACTATCATGCCTGCTCAATAACGCATCGGTTTCATTTCTTCACATTACTTATGAAAAGTCCATTGTGCAGTGTGCATCCTTCCTTAGTGATCTTTGCAGTCATGTCAGTAGGTTCAACCATTTTTTCTAGTGAGCAAGTTTGAAAAAGTGGTTCGCTGAGACCCATGTTGCTGAGTGAAAGGGCTACTGAATTTCTCTGATCATTTTAAGAAAGAAAACAGTGAAACGTTTGTTGGTGTTCTAAAGAAAGATACATCTGCCTTTCTCATCCAATGGTTTCTTCTTCACATGTATCGCTCTTATCATATGGAGAAAGGAAAGGCTAAAAATTATCCGGTAACTTTCAAAAGCATTGAAACTTGTCGTATGATAACCTTGTCGTATCACCTCCTCAACAAAAAGGTACTCCAAAACAAAATACCAAGTCAGCTGGAGTTTATAGTGAAAGAGTTCTACGCACACACAGATTGCACATGCGTACATATGGAATATCCGTAAATGTACGACAAGGAAGTCATAAAGTTTGAAGCGTTCAAAAAATATACAGAAAAGGCTTCAAGATACGTCATTCGGAGAGCTGATCGAAAGGCGTTGGCAAACTCTGACTTTTAAACAAATTCTGTCATCTTGCCGTGCAAATGTGACCGAACATCAAAAATTTCCTTACAAGCACTCTCACACACCTTTTCGTGCTGAAAGGGATCACCGCAGAAGCTAAATGTTTGTCGATCGAGTAGCCAGAGACGCCAGCTTTTGGAGGGAAAAGGCGTCGAATGCGTGACTTGTGCAGTAAGCATATTTTACGCCAAGGTCGGGTTACTGTAAGACAGCCGGACGATGGCTGAAGAAGTAATATTGTCCGACCGACTAGTGGAATGAGGGCGACTATAGCTGTGGGGCAGTTGCTGGCACAATGTCACGTGAGATCGTTGCAGTAGCTGGCAGCCGCCTCCCAGCAACCTCGGCAACCGTTGCTGGCAAACCATGGCCGATCCTTACGGCTCAAAGCATACCTGCTGTACACATCCTTGCAGGCCAGTAAAATTACAAGTGGGCAAATAAATTCCAGAATGTATCTCTCTTCTAGTCAACGTTATTTCTTCACTTGAGCTATGCTTCGAAGGGCGTTCACCAAAATCCCAAAACTTTCAGTTTTGCCCCAGTACTGACAGTGCGTCACACACTCCAGTGCAAGCGATGCCATTTTTAATCAGCCAGGGCGGGTTTTTGACCATCAGGTGTAGATCACCTTCAGTGTTACGACTAGAATGAAAAACACATTAGTCAAGCGTGGTCATCTGTATCGAATAGATATAGAGAAATGGTATGTAGAACGCTAAAAGAAAATTGGTAAGCACAAAGTTTGTATCCGAAAGCTTTCCTACAAGAAGGTAAGGCCCCCGCCAGAGTGCCGAAGCCACGCCAGCGCTGCGCCGGCGCCGAGCCAGCGCCGAGCTGTCCCATTTGTTCGGGGCGGGGCTAGATGACCCTGTGCGAGCAAGGGCTTCTGGCAAATTCGATCAATAGTCGGTGCATTTACCTGGCTGAGAACTAGGTTAGCTAGCCCCGCCCCAACAAGATGCATATGTATTGACCGAAACAGCGCCGGGCAGCTCGGCGCTAGGTCGGCGCTGGCTTGGCGCCGG